CCCCAAAACCCCAAAACCCCAAAACCCCAAAACCCCTATAGGGAAAAGCCAATAAGATACTAAATAAAATTTTATTCACCCAAATAAAATGACAAGGTCTCTTTCTGTTGATGTGAATCTGAATAGGAGAGGGTATCCATACTCAAGACTTTCCCAAGCAATTAGGAATGCTCAACATGGGGGAGTAGACGATACTGAATGGAGAAGAGCTTTCCTCAATACCCACAGGAGGATTATTTCAAGCAGTCTAGAGAGAAAGCTTATCGAGTCTTCAAATGTCTACACAGAGAAGAATGCTATTGACAATATTGTACCCAAGTTACAGAAGGGAGCAGAGGAGATCTTTTGAATCAACAGGAATTATGACCGCAGAGATATTTTCAGAGCATTTTCTCTCAGGACCATGAGCTTGTTAGAGAAGAGCGAGATTCAGGAAAGCGACAAAATTATGAAAGCTATGCAAATAGTTCCCAGTTGAAAGAGAATTAAGAAAGCTTTCAAACAAATTGTGGAGGAGGGAGCTGAAAATTTTCAAATAAAGAAATATTCTTCACATAAATTGGCGTTGCTAAAGGTTTGTCTTGACTTAAGAGAGGCATATTACAAGACTTGCAAGCCCATTTTTAATTTAGCAAAACTATTAAACACATTAGTTCTTCAAAGAGAAATTGCTGAGTATCTTCAGGAAGGTATAAATTATTATTGGTTATTTCTTTTCCAACTCCACTTGACGACAGCTTAATGTATTATAGATCTCGCTATTCTCTATATTAGAACTTTAACCAGTAACCTTCATTGCTTGACCATCTAGACCAAGAAATTTATCAAAAGTTGGGATTACTCTTGTTTAAAGAATCTTTGAACAGGATTCCAGAGGGATCTGATCCTTCTACCACACTTAATTACTCTTGTGTGCACTATACAAGACTGATTAAGGAAACAGAGTTGCTTCTCTCAGAAGTGACACCAACTCAGTACTATGAGTAAACACATATTCTTCAGATTTGACTATCTTAGCCTTCAACAGAAAAGTTCACGAACGGGGTTTTGGGGTTTTGGGGTTTTGGGGTTTTGGGG